GGGGAGGGGAGGGGACGGCCACCAGCAGTGCTGGGGACACCATGGGGTTGTGGGGGGGCCACCATCGGGGTCAAGGCCACCACAGGGGCGGGGACACAGCTGTGGTCAAGGCCACCATCGGGGTCATTGAGGCCACCGTGGGGTTGGGGTCACCCCTGGGATCGAGGCCACCCCCCCAGGGTCGGGGCTCTGCCACAGTCAGTGTCACTGCAGGGGCAAGGCCACTGCAGGGGCAGGGTCACCACCAGGTCTGGAGTCACCAGGAGGGTCAGGGACCCCCTGGGATGGGGGACACGATGGCACTGGGGACGCCACGGGGGGAGGGGTCGCCGCCGAGGTCGAGGCCACCACTGGGGGTGGTGTCACTGCTGCTGGTGAGGTCACCACTGGGGTCAAGGCCTCCCCACTGTCCCCAACACCCTCAGTGTCCCCGGTGTCCTCAATGTCACCGAGTCCCTGATGTCCCTGGGGTCCTCAGTGTCCACAACATCCCTGGTGTCCTTGGTGTTCCCAGTGTCCCTGGTGTCCCTGATGTCCCTGATGTCCCCGGTGTCCCTGGTGTCCCCGTGTCACCGCTCGAGGAAGCGCAGCCCGATGGGGGTGCCGGGGGCCAGCAGGGTTCGGGTCATGGGGGTCACACGGCCCCCCCCCGGGCTCTGGACGCACCTCAAACTGCAGCAGGATCTGGGGGGGGTAGGGACAGGTGAGGGACATGGGAGGGGACACGGGGACCCCAGGGGACACGGGGACAGCGGGGGACACGGGGACAGCAGGGGACACCCACCTGTGCCAGCGCCATGTGCAGCTGCAGCTCGGCCAAGCGGCGCCCGACGCAGCTGCGGGGGCCGAGGCCGAAGGGCAGCGAGGCAAAGGGGTGCCCGGGGCCGGGGGTGTCACCGGGGGTGTCACCGGGGTCCCCCGGGGTGTCCCCAAAGCCGTCCCCGGGGTCCCGGTGGCGCAGCCAGCGCTCCGGGCGGAAGGTGTCGGGCGCCGGGAAGAAGCGGCTGTCGCGGGACGTGGCGTAGTGGCAGAGCGTGATGAGGGTCTGGGGGGACACGGGAATCAGGGGGACGCGCTGGGGACCTCCTGGGGACCCTCGGGAGCGAGGGGTGTGTGTGTGGGGGGGTGTCCCCCCCGCTCACCTGGCGCGGCACCAGGTACTCGCCCACGCGGATGTCGCGGTCGGGGACCACGCGGGCGTTGGCCGGGATGACGGGGTACAGCCTGGGGGGCACGGGGGGGTCACCTCCCTGTCCTCGTCCTCAGCCCTGACCCCTCCTGTCCCCATCGTCATCCCTTCCTTGTCCCCATCCCCACCCTCGACTCCATCCTCATCCTCCCCCTCCCCCTCATCCTGATCCCCCCCATCCTCAGCATCGTTCCCACCCCCCTCCTTATCCCCATTTTAACCCCCATCCTCATCCCCGTGTCCCCGTCTCTGTGTCCCCGTGTCCCCACCCCTGTCCCCGTGTCCCCGTCACCTGAGTGTCTCCTTCACCACCGCCCTCAGCATTGGCAGCCGTCGCAGCGCGGCCGCGGTGGCACCGGCGCCGTCACTGCCGGTGACACCTTTGGTGACGCTGTTGGTGACACTGTTGGTGGCAGTGGCGGCCACCAGCTCTCGGTGCAGGGCCGCCTGTGCCCCCGGGTGCCGGGCCAGCTCGTACAGGCTCCAGGCCAGCGTGCTGGCCACCTGGGGACACGGGACGTGGGTGACACGGGGACATCGACGGGCCCCACGGGGATGCCCCAGTGTCCCCCCCTCACCGTGTCCACCCCCGCCAGCAGCAGCTCGGTGACGTTCCCGTAGATGCTGCTCATGGGGAGCCGCTCCCGGGCCAGCAGGTCGGTGACACAGGTGTCCCCCCGGGGCGGCGACCCCCGCGCTGCCACCGCGGCCACGCGACGGTCCACGTGAGCCTTGGCTGGGGACAACAACACCCCCTCAGTGTCACCGTGGCCATGGGACAACACCCCCTCAGCGTCACCCATGGGACAACACCCCCTCAGTGTCACCGCCACGTCCTGTCCACGTATCCCTTGGCTGGGGGGGGACGACACCGTGGCACTGTCACCATGGTCATGGGGCCCCACAGGATGTCTCTGTGTCCCCAAGGGATGGCCCCAAGTCCCCAGTGGGTGTCCCCATGTCCCCAGTGGATGTCCTCCTGTCCCCAAGGGATGTCCCCATGTCCCCAAGGGATGTCCCCGTGTCCCCAGTGGGTGTCCCCGTGTCCCCAAGGGATGTCCCCATGTCCCCAGTGGGTGTCCCCGTGTCCCCAGTGGGTGTCCTCATGTCCCCAAGGGATGTCCCCATGTCCCCAAGGGATGTCCCCATGTCCCCAGTGGGTGTCCCCGTGTCCCCAGTGGGTGTCCTCATGTCCCCAAGGGATGTCCCCATGTCCCCAAGGGATGTCCCCATGTCCCCAGTGGGTGTCCCCGTGTCCCCAGTGGGTGTCCTCATGTCCCCAAGGGATGTCCCCATGTCCCCAAGGGATGTCCCCATGTCCCCA